CACAGACATAAAATCCTATATAAAAACGTTAAAAAAATGTAATTCAACATTATAGTAAAAAGATAATATACAATGACCAAACGGAATCTCTTCCAGGAATGGAAGATGCCTTAACATTCAAAAATCGATCCACTGGACAAACTTTGAGAACATTACGCTAAGTGAAATAAGGCCAATCACAAAAGAACAAATATCTATATGAGGTTCCTAACATAGTCAAATTCACAAATGAAGAAAACAGGACAGTCATTTCCAGGGACTGAGGGGAGGAGGGATGGAAGGTTATTGTTTAATGGGTATTGAGTTTCAGCTTAGAACAATGACAAGTTCTAAGAGAACATGAGAAGGGATATGGATGGTGGTGATGATGCACAACACTGTGAATGTACTTAATTCCACTGAACTGTACACTTAAAAATGGTTGGGATGGTAAGTCTTATGGTATGTGCGTTTTACCACAATTAAAAAAAAAAAAATCAATCCATATAACTCAACCACATTAACAGAATAAGTAAACCATATAGTCATCTCAATAGATGCAAACTATGTATTTAGTGAGATTCAGCACCTCTCCACTACTTCTGGAGACCCTGGCCAGTGCCAAAAAGCAAGAAAAAAATGGTATAAAATCTGGAAAGATGAAGTGAAAAACTTTATTGCAGATGACATGTTGTATATAAAGTCCAATAAAACAAACATAATTAGCAAGTGAATTTATCAAGGTCACTGTATTATAATTTAATAGTTATAATAATTATAATTATTACATAGTTCGTTCACTCCTTTGGATATAACATAAATCCATTTCATGTTATATATAATAATGTACAATACATATAATATACCATAATATATAATAGATAAAATATGTATATCATTTATACTGTTGAACCTTGAACAGCGTGGATGTTAAGGGTATTGCCCCTCGAGTCAGAAATCCACATATAACTTTGATTATGTAAATCCACATATAACTCCCCAAGAACTTAACTAGTAATAGCCTCCTGCTGACCAGAAGCCTTACTGATAACATTAACAGCTGATGAACACATATTCTGTATGTTATACTATATACTATATCCTTAAAATAAAGTAAGCTAGAGAAAATCAAGAAAATGAGAAGAGAAAACACACTCCCACAACTATAGTTATTGATACTGTAGGTTTACATGGTCTCTTTGCAAGATGAATCATCTGTCCATGCCTCTATCAATATTGTCTTTTATGATACAAAACATTGTGATGCTATAGGCATTATTAACCAATCCCAGAAATGAAATGTGGGGGAAAAAATTTTATTTACAGGTATTACGAAATCATGCACTGAAAACAAAAAGGCAGCAAAATGCCCCTATGATCGTTTCATGGTAGCCTGGCCTGTATGTTAATGAATAAAATGTTACAAAATTCTTATGGCATAGAGTAATTATGGTCGCATTCATAATACAGCATTGGAAACATTGTTACATATTTGGAAAATTACTTATCTGTGATGATTGGGTGATACATAGATTCTCCAGCAGGAGCTTAGTGTTTCAGGATTGATGGTTTTCACAGCTTTTTTTGGAACAACAATAGTGTATCTTCAGGGGTGTAATCATTCCAGACTTTTATTATGCCCTAGGGCACGGGGCTTTCCCATTGAGCTGACAATCCTTTCCACAGAGTACAATGTGTACTGAGCCTTAAAGATCCTTATGACCCCCGATCTAGATGGTGGTGTGTCTGGGGGCAAATAGACCACTTTGACACTTTCAGTGTTGAACTCACGGGGTTCCGGATGGCCGGGGACACTGTCAAGTATCAACAGAACTTAAAAAAAAATTTTTTTTAATGTTTTTATTTCTTTTCGAGAGAGACAGAGACAGAGAATGAGCTGGGGTGGGGTTGGGTGGGGGAGGCAGAGAAACAGGGAGACAAAGAATCGGAAGCAGGCTCCAGGATCCAAGCTGTCAGCACAGAGCCTGATGTGGGACTCAAACCCATGAACTGTGAAATCATGACCTGAACCAAAGTTGGATGCTTAACTGACTGAGCCACCCAGGCACCCCTCAAAAGAACTTTAAAAGGCAAGTTTCCTTACTTGCAAGGTATTTCCTGACTTCAGGGACAAAACATTGTTGGAAGGAATAGAAAGTTTCTAAAAAAAAAAAAAAAAAAAAGCGGGGGGGGCGTGGAGGTGGGTTCAGCCCTTCTTACTGTACAACCAAAAGACTGGGAGCTGCTAAATAGCTTTTCAAAGATTAGCAGCTTTGGGGGCGCCTGGATGGCTCAGTCAGTTAAGCATCTGACTCTTAAGTTTGGCTCAGGTCATGATCTCCCAGTTCGTGGGCTCAAGCCGTGTGTTGGGCTCTGCCCTGACAGCATGGAGCCTGCTTGGGATTCTCTCTCTGCCCCTCCCCCCTCTCTCAAAATATTATTCAAAACGCTGCCAGTATTGGAAACATTGGGATAAAGGAGGATAAGCATGTATTTCACAAAAAGTGCAAAGTTTTCACACCTGTTGGCTTAGGTGCAGTGATGGCTTCATGAATTTTCTTCTCTTTTCTTTCTTTTTGCAGAGGATTATAGTGGATTCATTTATCTTGGCATGGCAGGCAACTGCTGCTGCGGACCTCAATCATTGGTACATATCAAGAAATTCAACTTTCTCTTAGAACTTCATGACTTTTCTTTGCTCCTAAAAGAGCACTTCCACATCATTAGTGGCTCTCCATATGGGTCCCCTGGTATTATTCAAGGTTTACAGTATTTCACTTAAACATGAAGGAAAATATGTGAGAAGTGTGAGAGACACCTTTTTACTGTGATATACAACGTATTGGAGATGAACTGCTCCGTGACGATCAGTGCCTCACAGCGTTTTAAGTGGATACTCACTACACTTGAGCCCAACTCAATAGCAACAGGAGGTGGCTACAAAATTATGACAGTAGTAAAGTATGTACTGCTAAAAGTTCATTTTACAAGGTTCTCATTTGTTCTGCATCTTTTTGCTGACATTTGTCTTGAATGCAAATGGTACTATGTATGGTCTGCTTGTGTGCATAAGTTTTGATACACTTTTAACTTTTTATAATAGATCTGTGCGTATTTTGTGGTAGTGATAAAATAGGCTATTATCTACATATATTTTGTGCGCTCATAACATACCCTTTTTGTAAAATCTCAATTCTCTCTAGGCTACATGGTTCATCTGTGAGTTTTTCAAATTGTTGCAAGTCTTTAAAAAAATTTTTCCAATACATTTATTGAAAAAAACCCTTGTCTATTAAACGAACCCGCAGAGTTCAAACTCATGTTGTTCAAAGACCAACTATATATATTTAATATATATTAGCAAAAATCAGAAAACTAAAATAATAGCATTTATAACATCAAAGCACCAAATATATAGGGCTAACTTAATAAAAACGTTCAAAACGTCTACATTGAAAAAATACAAAAATTGCTGAGATTAAAAAATGTATATAAATGAAAAGCATGTTCACAGACTGGATGTCTCAATATTGTGAAAGTGTTCATTCTTCTAAAATTATGTATTTGATGTTAAGGCCCACTAAAATCTCAACTTTTTGGTGTGGAGCAATTGAAAAAAAATTTAAAAATGTATATGAGGAATGCCAAGGACCTAGAGTTGCAGTGGCCATTTTGAACAAGAACATAATTCAAAGACACACACCACCGAGACTTACTATCAATCTGTTTACACTAAGAACATCTGGTGTTCCCTAGAATGGAACAGAATAATTTTGAAATAGACCCCCACATAATATAATCATCTGATTTATCTTAAGAATACCACTACAACCCAAGGGGGAGAGGGGAGGAACATCTTTTCAATAAATGATGTTGAATAAATTGTGTATTTGTATGCAAAATGTTAATTTGACCTCTATCCCACACCACACATAAAAATTCATTTCAGAGGGATTGTAGACCTAAAAGTGAAAAGTAAAATAGTAGAGAAAATATCTTTTGTGACTTTGGATTAGGAGAAGATTTCTTAAACTAGGCACAAAAAGCACTAATCATAGAAGATTATTTTTCATTAAAACTAAAAACGTCTGTTCATTGAACGACATCATTTGGGGAGCGTAAAGGCAGGCTGGAGATGGGGAGATGATGTCTGTAATACAAGTATCTAAAAAGCACCTTGCAGGGCACCTGGGTGGCTCAGTCGCTTGAGTGTCTGACTTTGGTTCAGGTCACGTAGGATCTTGCGGTTTGGGAGTTTGAACCCCACTTTGGGCTCACTGCTGTCAGCCTGTCAGTGCAGAGCCTGCTTCAGATTTTCTATCCCCCTTGCTCTACTCCTCCCCCACTGTACTCTCCCCCCAAATATTTTTTTTAAAAGGTACCTTGCACCCAAAATAAAGAAAGAATCCTACAAATGAACAAAGAGTTCCCAATTTAAAAAATGGGCAAAAGTCTTTTAAAAAACTTTTTTTTAATGTTTATTTTTGAGAGAGAGCGTGCACCCGAGTGTGTGAATGGGGGAGGGGCATAAAGAGGGAGAGAGAATCCAAAGCAGGCTCCAGGCTGTCAGTACAGCTGGGCTTGAACCCATGAACTCCAAGATCATGACCTGAGCCGAACTCTGACACTTAACCATCTGAGCCACCCAGGTGCCCCCCAAAATAGGTAAAAGTCTCCAACAGGCACTTCTCAAAGGAGGGTATTCAAAATGCCAATAAGCACCTAAAAGGAGACTCAACATCATTAGCCATAAAGGAAATGCAAATTAAACCTATAATGAGATAATGTCATAACTAGAACTAGGCTTACCTCTCCATTGAAACTGTTCTAGTAAAAGTAGCCTATGCCATCTCTGTCCCCTAACCCTTTTCAGTTATGTCATTTGAACTTGCTTACGATGGTCTTCTTCTTGAAATGCTTGGCTCTGAAGCAGGGCAGAGGGTTTTATGTGTGGTGAGGGTTAGGAGGTAGAAAGGAGCAGCCAACAGAGTAGGCACTAAGTCAACAGAGTAGGCATTAAGTCGTGTCAACTGTTCAGCAGGGTTTCTTAAGGATAGTGTGTCAAGGTGTAACTCTAAACTTTCCAATCAGAAACTGGTACATTATATCCAAAGGAGGTATGTCTCTTGGTAACAATTCATAAATCCCACTATTAAAATTCAATCTGAAATGGTCATTTTAACCAGTGTCAAATTATTTACTTGTAATGGGAGGTAGCGCCTATCATTTGTCCAACATCCCCTTCGCAATTTTGGATACATACATATTCTAACATTGTGAGAGGGGTACTGGGATTCTCTTTCCTTCAGCCTCTACTAAAGCACAGCTCATCATGTCTTGTCCTTTTTGGATAGCAGCTCCATGGTTTCTTAGGGCCTTCGGATATCAGGGCCATAGCGTCTTGGTTCTCATTTTTGTTCCAGCACTCAGTAGTTCCAGAACTCACAAGACTTCCTTCATGGACTTGGGTGTCTGGCTGTTTCCCCTCTCTATATTCCATCATGCAATGTTCTCGGAGGCTGTACACGGAACTTTTCACCATTGTGACCTTTTTTTCAGTGCCATGTTGAGGGTGGAACTTTTCTTGAGGCTTGCAGTCTTCTGGTCTATAGCCTGGATAGAAGTTCCAGATATTCTTAGATATGTTTTTCGTTTGTCTGAAATTACTACCTCTTCTAAATGAGGGAAATGAAGTGCTGGGTAACTTCCTTGGAATCTAGGCGGCATCAGAACAAATTCTCATGCTCTCAGATCCATGAGTGCCCCTACCCTGCCACTATATTAGGGTAAATCTTGGTACATAACAGGTGTCCAATAAATTACCTTCACAAGTAAAATAGGTTTTTCCTGTTTATGTTAAATATTACATGCTTGTTGGGAAGAAAAGCTTATGAAATACATAAGTGCGTAGTAATCAGACAAAAAAATACTGCCTACTCCACCAACTCTAAAACAATTTAACTTTTTGGAGACCATCCTTTCATTCATGGCTCTCAAAAGTTCATACAAATACAGTTTCATATAGAATTTTACACCATACATGCTGCACTTACATTTAAAAAATTTTTTTCCAGTCCTTTCCCCTATTTATCGCTCTACTTCTCCCTTCCTTCAAGGTAACCAATAATAACAGCCTGGTATATATTCTTCTGATATATATATACTTGTTTCCATGCTCATCACATACATATATATATATACATAAATAGGTATGATCATTTAATAAAAAATGAAATCCTGTACACATAAAGCTCTGTAATAAAGCAATTAGTTATTAAAAACTGTGGAAATACCTTGAGGTCAACTAGTGTAGATAAAACTAATTTTAAAAATTACTCGTGCTGTTCCATAGAATGGCTATATCACACTTTATTCAACCATTCCCCACTTCATGGGCATTCACTTAGTCGCCACTTGGTTTTCTACTTTGCCTCTACAAACAATACTTCAACAAAAATCCTCACTTATGTGTATTCTTCTGCATTGATGCTGTTATTTCTATGGGGAAGATCCCCAAAGTGAGACTGCTAAATCAAAGTATTTTTATTTTAAAATTTTATCAAAAAATTAAATATATATTGCTTAATTGCTGGTGGAAATAGAAGTTAATACAAATATTTACCCTTTTCTGTAAGAGTAGATGGTTTCCCAAATCCCACTAGCAAAAGATCTCTTAATTTTTGCCAACTCCATTTAGTGGAGGTGGCATCTCATTGGTTGTTTTAATTTGCATTTCCCTGAGTACTACTTAGGTTCATAATATTTTCAGAGATTAATGGCAATTTGTTCTTCTATGACTAGCCATCTAGTTCAGATGGATTAAAGACTTTAATATAAAATATAAAATTATCAAAATCTTAGAAACAAATTTAGAACACTATGTATAACCTAGGGATTAAGGAGACTCTTTTAACTAAAAGAGTAAATTAGTCTAAAAAGGAAAATATCTATGAAAAATTAAAATGTGGGGACTTCTTTTACCATATAAAACAGCATAAAGACAAACGCTAGATTAAAAAATTTTCAACACACACATGACTAAGGATTAATACTTCAAATATACAAAGAGCACCTCCAGATTTATAAGAAAGACAAATCAATAGAAAAATAGGCAAAAAAGTATATAGGCAATTCATGGAAGACAATGTAAGTGAACAAAGTATGAAATCTGGGTGAAGGCTTTCATTTGTCCATTATTTTTCTCTGTGAAATTTTCTTATAACTTCTAAGACTTAATACAAGTTTTCCACATTCTTATGTTTATAAAGTATCTCTTAAGGGTGTGTTTTCTGGTGAATTGCTCCTGAAAGTTTTCTCACATTCATAAAAGACACAGTTTAGAAGTTCTCCTTGCGGAGTTGACATCTGGATGAATGATTTATTACTTTTCATATTAACTGAGTTTCTCTCTGATGTGTTCTCTGGTGTACAGTAAGGCTTGAGCTACTCCTAAAGGCTTTTCCACATTCATGACACTTATATGGTTTTTCCCCAGTATGCATCCTCAAATGTACAGTAAAGTCTGAGTTGGTTCTGAAGGCTTTTCCGCATTCTTCACATTTATAGGGCCTTTCCCCAGTATGAATTCTCTGATGAAGAGTTAACTGGGATAGAGTGATACATCCTTTTCCACATTCCTTACATGTATAGGGTTTTTCTCCAGTATGTGTTCTCCAATGGACTGTAAGGTATGAACCTCTCCTGAAGGCTTTTCCACAGACATCACATTTATAGGGTTTCTCTCCACTATGGATTTTCTGATGTTCTGTGACATGTACCATCTGGCTAAAGGCTTTCCCACAGTCATTACATTTAAATGGTTTCTCTCCGGTATGTGTTCTCTGATGGGTATTAAAGCCCGAGTTACTTGTGAAAACCTTCCCACACTCGTTACATTTATAGGGTTTTTCTCCAGTATGCCTTCTTTGATGTACAGTGAGTTGTGATGTATTAGTGAAAGCCTTTTCACATTCATTACATTTATATGGTTTTTCTCCAGTATGGGTCCTTTGATGTACAATAAGGTAGGACTTAGTCCTGAAAGATTTCTCACAATCATAGCACTTATAAGGTTTCACTCCAGTATGGATTTTCTGATGCTCCTTGAGATTTACCATTTTGGTAAATGCCCTCTCACAGTCAGTACATTTATATGGTTTCTCTCCAGTATGAATCCTCTGATGTACAGTTAAGTGTGATTTTATTCTGAAAGATTCCCCACATTCATTACACAGATAAGGTTTTTCTTCAGTATGAATTCGCTGATGTATAATTAGGGATGAAGAACGCATGAAGGCCTTTCCACATTCATTACATTTATAAGGTTTCTCTCCTGTATGCATTCTGTGGTGTACAGTAAGGCATGAATAATTAATGAAGGCTTTTCCACATTCATTACATTTATAGGGTTTTTCTCCTGTATGAATTCTTTGATGTTCTGTGAAATTTGCTATGCGATTGAATGCTTTCCCACATTCATTACATTCATAAGGTTTCTCCCCAGTGTGAGTTCTTATATGTACAATAAGGCTTGAATTACTTCTATAGGCTTTTCCACATTCATTACATCTAAAGGGTTTCTCGCCAGTATGAATTCTCTGATGAACATTAAAAATTGTGGTATTCTTGAAAGACTTCCCACACTCATTGCATTTATATGGTTTCTCTTCAGTGTGGGTCTTCTGATGTACACTGAGATAGGACTTATTCCTAAAGGCTTTCCCACAATCATTGCATTTGTAGGGTTTCTCTCCATTGTGAGTTTCCTGATGTCTTGCAAGTTTTGATCTATCACTGAAAGCCTTCCCACATTCACTACATTTACAGGGCTTCTCTCCGGTTTGAATTCTCTGGTGTTGATTAAGGCGAGCACACTGGCTAAAAGATTTTCCACAGACATTGCATTGATAAGGTTTCTCCTTAGTATGAATTCTCTGATGTACCATAAGCGATGAAGAAGCAATGAAGGCCTTTCCACATTCGTTACACTTATAGGGTTTTTCTCCAGTATGAATTTTTTTATGTTGACTGAGATATGAAGGCTGGCTGAACATTTTCCCACATTCATTACATTCATAAGGTTTTTCTTTAGTGTGTGTTCTCTGATGTTGAATGAGTAATGACCTGTAACGAAAGGACTTTTCACAGGTGCTACATTTATAGGGTTTTTCTTTATTATTGTATTTTTTCCCTAAAGTAAGTTCTGAAGTAGGCCTTATGGCTTTGCTGCCTTCTGTATCCTTGTAAATCTTTTTTCCCGGAGAGGTATCTGTAATCAAATCTAAATTCTCAGTGACATTTTCATGCGTTTGGCATTTGCTGTGGGGCTCATCTCTGAGAACTCCTGCTTCTGGAAAAAGAATAGATCCAAATCTAAATCCTCTTTGACCAGTGGGAATTTTCTTGTGAGTAACTGTTCTTTGACTCAAATGATTTTCCCGACTTTTCTGCAATCTCAGTATCCTTTCGTTCCATTTCCATAATCCTCCCATTCTGGGGTTCCACAGACCGTTCTCTGTGAGTTTATCTATTATGGCTTCTTGCGATCCAGCTCTAGAAGTCTCCGCTGTTGATACAACATTCCTGGCTACAGGTCTGGTCTCCAACTCTGCGGGGAGAAAAGAGAAAAATCAAATCAAATGACTCCTATTTTCTAAACTAGGAAGACCTCAGTAAACAGGATAATAAAAGGGAAACTTGAGCTGATAATGAATACAAAGTTTTAACTGCTTCCAAAGTGGCCTTATTTTCTACGGAGGAAGTAGGTTTGAGGGAGGCTGGTTGAGCCAAGAACCAAAGTAACAAATTTAGGGTTTTTCTCCTGCTAAACAAATTCATTCATGGTAATTCTCCCAGAATCTAAGCCTCTCATATACTTCTTTCCTCATTTCCTGTAGAGTCAACATTTTTACAGAGCATTCTGCATAAGTTGTGACTACTTCCTTTCTTCCCATTTACTCGGCAAACCAGGCAGTTTTTTCCAACCATACTTTCTGTTTGTTCTCGTTCTTTGCTTGCTAGCTTTTTTGTATGAGGGATTTCTCAAATTTCCCTGTCAGAGCAGCTTATTCAAGTCTCTGCATGTGCTTTTAAATCATATATTTATGGAAAAAAACACTTTGATTCTTCAGAAAGTAGACTGAACAGTAAATTAGTAAAAATTAATATTTATAGCTATTAATATTTTAAACAGTGATAATAATTATCATCAAAGGTAGTTTTGCAAACTTTTCATATCTTAACAACATTCCTGTATGTCTGTCAAAACAAATTGGATCAAAACTACTTACACCTTGGGGTGCCTGGGTGGCTCAGTTGGTTAAGTGTCCGATTTCGGCTCAGGTCATGATCTCATGGTTCGTGGGTTTGAGCCCCGCATCTGGCTCTGTGCTGACAGCTAGCTCAGAGCCTGGAGCCTGTTTCGGATTCTGTGGCTTCCCTCTCTTTCACCCTCCCCTGCTCGCTCTCTCTCTCTCTCTCTCTCTCTCTCAGAAATTAAAAAAAAAAATTTAAAAATTAAAAAAAAAACTACTTACACCTTGAGTTTTAAAGTCAAAAACATTCTACGATCCACAAAAGGTTTTGATCCAATTCTTTTTTTTTTTTTTAATGTTTTATTTATTTCTGAGAGAGACAGCATGGGCAGGGGAGGGTCAGAGAGAGAGGGAGTCACAGAATCCGAAGACAGGTTCCAGGCTCTGAGCTAGCTGTCAGCACAGAGCCGGATGGGGGGAGGGGGGCGGCTTGAGGCCACAAACCGTGAGATCATGACCTGAGCCGAAGTCTGATGCTTAACCGACTGAGCCATCCAGGTGCTCCTAATTCTTTTTTTAAACAGAGAAAAAATTGCCTGAAAATGAGTTTGCAAATTTATAGAATTTTTTAAAATTTATTTTGAGAGAGAGTGTGAGTCAGGGAGGGGCAAAGAGGGAGGGAGAGCATCCCAAGCAGGTTCCGCATTGTCAGCACAGAGCCCAATGCTGGGCTCAAACTCATCAACTGCAAGATTATGACCTGAACCGAAACCAAGGGTCTGACGCTTAACCGACTGAGCTGCCCAGGCGCTCGAGTTTAGATATTTAAAAGAAGTACAATAGAAAATTTTACATTGTATATACACACAAGTTGTAAGACCACCACCCCACAGTGTAATATTATTCAGAAAGACAAAGTTTTAAACTTAGGCTCACTAAGAGGACAACCCTAGACACCAGCTCTTTTAAATGTCTAATTGAATTAAAGTAACTGAGGACTGTTACAACCTTATCCTGGTGGCCTGCCAAAAGCAAACAGTGCTTATGGGGTGCCTGGGGGGTTCAGTCGGTTAAGCATCTGACTTCAGCTCAGATCATGATCTCACAGTGCATGGGTTCGAGCCCCGCATCGGGCTCTGTGCTGACAGCTCAGAGCCTGGAGCCTGTTTCAGATTCTGTGTCTCCCTTGCTCTCTGCCCCTCTCCTGCTCATGCTGTCTCTCTCTCAAAAATAAATAAAAACTTTAAAAAAAAAAACCAATAACCCCAAAAGCAAACAGTACTCTAGGGGAAAAGTTACACAATCCAGAACCTCAAATTATTGTTATAGGTTTTAATATCCATGCCTGACAATGAAAAATAATAGGCATATAAGAAGACAAAAATTAGAGAAAAGTCAAGAGAAGAAACACATCTAGAAGGAATCTAGACAGCTGAGATGTCGGACATAAACTTTCAAAATAATCATGGTTAGGGGCGCCTGGGTGGCTTAGTCGGTTAAGCGTCCGACTTTCGCTTGGGTCATGATCTCGCGGTTCGTGGGTTCGGGCCCCGCATCGGGCTCTGTGCTGACTGCCAGCTCAGAGCCTGGAGCCTGTTTCAGTCTTTGACTCCCTCTCTCTCTGACCCTCCCCTGCTCACACTGTCTCTCTCTCTCCTATAAATAAATAAAACATTAAAAAAAAAATTAAAAAAAAAAAAATCATGGTTAGTATATTCAAGAAAGTAAGACAAGACCAGTAATTTCACCAAATAATTGGAAAGTATAAAATAAGAACCAAATGGCAATTCTAGAACTGGAAAATAAGTCAAAGGGTAGGCTGCAACACACAGTAGATTTGACACATGAGAGTGCTAGCAAAATGGAAAACAGGCAGTAGAAAATGTGCATATTGAAGTACAGAATGATGAAAAACTTGAAAACTCAATTTCAAAAGACATTAGAGACCCACAGGATAGAGTGATAAGGTCTAACAGAGATGTAAGAGTCCCAGAAGGGTAGAGCGAGAAGTGAGAGAGAATGGGATGAAATCAAACTCAAAGAAATAATGCTGAAGCATTTTCCAAAACAGATAAAAATATCAAGCCATAGATTTTAGAAGCCAAATGAATTCCAAGTGAGAGAAATAAAACAAAAAAATAATGGAAACTAAAGATTTTGGGGGCACCTGGGTGGCTTAGCCAGATGAGTGTGCAACTTTGGCTCAGGTCTTGATCTCATGGTTCATGAGTTCAGGCCCCGCGTCGGGCTCTGTGCTGACTGCCAGCTCAGAGCCTGGAGCCTATTTTGGAGTCTGTGTCTCCCTCTCTCTCTGACCCTCCCCTGCTCACGCTGTCTCTCTCTCTCCTAGAAATAAAATAAAAATATTAAAAAACAAACAAAAAAGAAATAAACATTAAAAAAATTTAAAAAAAAAAATAAACATTAACAAATTTTTTTAAAAATGGGCAGAAGGTGGGGTGCCTGGGTGGCTCAGTCGGTTAAGTGTCTGACTGTCTCAGGTCATGATCTCACGGTTCGTGAGTTCAAGCCCCACATCCAGTTCTGTGCTGACAGCTCAGAGCCTGGAGCCTGTTTCAGATTCTGTGTGAGTCTCTCTCTGCACCTCCCTTGCTGTACTCTGTCTCTCTCAAAAATAAATAAACATTAAATTTTTTTTTTAAAATGGGCAGAAGACATGAAAAGATGTTTTTCTAAAGACATGCGGATGGCCAACAGGCACATGAAAAGATGCTCAACTTCATTATTCATCAGGGAAATGCAAATTAAAACCATAATGAGTTATCACTTTACACCTGCCAGAATAGCTAAAATAAAAAAAACAAATAACAAATGCTGGTGAGGATGTGAAGAAAAAGGAACCCTCATACACTGTTGGTGGAAATGTAAGCTGGGGCAGCTACTATGGAAAACAGTGTGGAGGTTCCTTGAAAAATTAAAAACAGAATTACCAGATGATCTGTTAATTCTACTACTGGTATTTACTCAAATAAAATAAAAAAACTAACTTGAAAAGATACAGGCACCCCTATGTTTACCGCAGTACTATTTACAATAACCAAGATTTGGAAGCCATCGAAGTGTCCATCGATACATGAATGGATGAAGAAGATGTGGTGTATATATAGGATGCAATATTACTCAGTCATCAAAGAAGTGAAATCTTGCCATTTTCAACGATGTGGATCCATCCAGAGGGTATAATGCTAAGTGAAATAAGTCAGAGAAAGACATATACCATATGATGTCACTCAATGTGTGATGTAAGAAACAAAACAAATGAATAAAGATAAAAGGAGGCCAAAAACTCCAGACTCTTAAATACAGAGAACAAACTGGGGGTTGCCAGGGGTTAGGTGAGTTGGGGGATGGATGAAGTAGATAAAGGAGGGTGAGAGGACACTTCTCTTCATGAGCACCGAGTGATGTACAGAATTGCTGAATCATAATACTGTATACCTGAAACTCATATAAAACTATAGGTTAATTAAAATTGAGTAAAAAATATAATATTGACATATGAAAAGAATATATGTAACACATACGTGTGGTATGCATGGCATCATGATAAAATGAATGTGCAAGTGAACTAGAATCCATTTCTCTTGTTCCATCTCTATTATCACCTCAATCAAAGTTATCATCTCTGCTTAGACTACTGTAACAACCTGTTGACTACCTGATTTAATGCCCTCAAGTTCAGTTTCTGCAGTTACTTCCTAAAAATCCTTGGTTAAAGTCTGCCAATGCCTTCTCTCTTACTCTGATTAAAATCCAAAGTCATTATTGTCACCTACAAAGCCCTGGATGGGCAAGCTGTTGCCTCACTGATACCAGCCTGCCTCAGCCCCCTTTCAAGTTCTAGAACACATTTCATTCTATTCTGTGTCACGTCCTTTGTTTGGAATGCTTCTCCTTTCCTCTTCCCTTGGCTGGTTGTTTCTGAGTCTTCAAGGTTCAGCTTAGAAGCCCGTCTTCAGAAGCCTTCCCTGACCACACTCTCTGAGGAAGGTACCCTCACCCCCATCGCAGCTACTCTTTCATATCTCATATCTCACCCAGTGTATCTCATAACTGAAGGTTATCACACCTGCCATTTAGCTTGTTTTTATTTATATACTTGTCAACTTCTTAAAATATAATCTTCATGACAGCAGGGACCTGGTCTATCCCACTCATTGCTGTAGACCTAGTACCTAACCCAGTACACAGAAAAGAGAGGTCCGATAAAGGGCAGTTCAATACATGAATAGATACTGTATTTTAATTCTCAACGGATTCCTTGTCTGTATTTTTAATTAGTTAAGAAACCAAAGGAGAACAGGAGGGTTCCCCCAAAGTTTCAGCAGGCTTGCAGGGTCACCTGCAAGTTAAATAATGAGTAAATAGGTTTAGCTTAAAAGAAATCAGTGGCGGGCACCTGGATGGCTTGGTCAGTTAAGCATTTGACTCTTGGTTTCAGCTCCGATCATGATCTCACAGTTTGTGGGATCGAGCCCTACGTCAGGCTCTGTGCTGACAGTGCTGAGTCTGCTTGGGATTCTCTCTCCCTCATTCTCTGCTCCTCCCCTGCTCATTCTCTTAAAATAAATAAACTTAAAAATATCAGCAGAGAGGTGCCCGGGTGGCTTAGTAGGTTAAACATCCGACTTTGGCTCAGGTCCTGATCTTGCGGTTCATGGGTTTGAGCCCCACATGAGGCTCTCTGCTGTCAGCTCAGAGCTGGGAGCTTGAAGCCTGCTTTGGATTCTGTGTGTGTATGTCTCTCTCTCTGCCCCTCCCCTGCTTGTGTTCTCTCTCTCTAATAAATAAATAAACATTAAAATCTGTGGTGACAAAGCATTTTAATGAAGAGAGGTCAGACAGTAGTTACACAAATGAGAAAAATGTAAAGTTAACTGAGAGACACACCTGAAAGAGATGTTTCCGGCATGTCTGAGTGAAGGGATAATTATGAAAATCATGTCCTCAAGAAAGCAAGATAGGCCGGGATGGGAACCCAAAGCAGAGAACAGAGAGAGAAGGAGAGGAACGGAAAAAGCAAGCGGGGGGGTGGGGGTGGGGGGCTCCTTCTGAGATAGCTTCAGCACCCATACTCCCTCAAATAGTTCAGATGTTCTGCTCCAGCCATAACCTATTAACTGGACATAAATCCAATCCTCCTGGTTCGTATGAACTCACCTGGATAGGGGGTTCTTGCAATTTCCCTCACTACCACCCATGGTCCTTTTCCATCCTCCAAATGAGATATCATGTCTGGTTTGGAAACTGCAAGCCCTGTTTAGAGAAAAATGAATAGGATTTGCCTGTGTTTATGAGTAAGAACTATTGCCAAATTTAGTCTCAGCTCTTAATCTTCTGTGCAGAGTGGCCATTATTGGGAGCTCCTGGGGTGCACTGTCCAATACACTTTTCAGTAGTCACATGTGGCTATTTGAGTTTGAATGTGAATTAGTTAAAACCATGTAAAGTTTAAAATTCAGCTCTTCAGTTGGACTAGCCAGATTTCAAGCCCTTAGCAGCTTCAAGTGGCTAGTGCCGTCCATATTGGACAGCACAGATACAGAACATTCCCATCATAGCAGAACGTTCTGTTGTACCATGGAGTTTCAGAGAATTACAAACATTACCTCAAAGGAGCCCAACGCTATGATCCCAGGTTTTCTGGGATAATAGAAGATGGGAGTAATCTGAGTTTAGGAAGAAAATGAATGCATTTGTTTGTTTCTTTCTGGTGGTACTGATAACTATAGCTCCCATTTATAAAAGTGATCAGGAAAAATGTTAGTCCTAAATCTGGGGACTGTCAACAATCTCCAAGATACCAATGAAATACATATTTCTTACTCTACCATGGGCAGACCACTTAGTTCAGAGCGAGGGAGAGCATGACTCCCAGCAACATCCCCACAAGATGAGATTTTAATGCCTAAGCTCTAACCGCACGTTCACTTAAATACTTTAAAGGTTCTCTATCTTTGGGGCACCTGGGTGGCTTAGTCGGTTAAGCGTCCGACTTTCGCTTAGGTCATGATCTCGCGGTTCATGGGTTCGAGCCCCGCGTCGGGCTCTGTGCTGACTGCCAGCTCAGAGCCTGGAGCCTGTTTCAGTCTGTGACTCCCTGTCTCTCTGACCCTCCCCTGCTCACGCTGTCTCTCTCTCTCTCTCCTAGAAATAAAAATAAATACATACATAAATAAAATAAAATAAAGGTTCTCTATCTTCAACAAACGTGGGCAAATGGGTAGATGCATGAAGGTTACTCTTACCCAGGGAGACAAGATTCCTGTAATTCTCTAGCATCACATCCTTGTGCAGGTTCCTCTGGGAAAGGTCCATCAACCTCCACTCTTCTAATGAGAAATCTACGGCCACATCTTTAAATGTCACGGGATCCTAAAATAAATACACTATCATCACCTGGGAACTACATAGTAAGATCTGTCGGGCAGAATAACACATACAAACTGGAGGAAACTTCCAGAACTCACAGCCACCAAATGACCACTGAAGTCAACCAGTTCAACCCGTAAAGAATGAATCTCTCTAGTGACAAGAACATAAAACCACAAGAGTTTTGCTTGAAGCAAAATTTTCTTTTCACGCTAATTCAAATCTGACCTTCTCTAACTTTGAAATATTGGCCTTACTATATAATCTGGTGTCAAACAGCATGGTTTCCTCCTTCTCTAGAAAAGGAGAATTTCTACCCAAATCCTCTTTTCTCCCTCAAAACCCTGGCTTATTTACAACATCAGCTATTTTTCAGTTCTAAATTTATAGAATATGGCTTAATAAAAGATGCAGTTTATCATTCAGATTGTAGATAAAGAACATTATAAGCTTTCACTTTGAGCAAGAAAATGGAGAGGACTGGGAAAGAAGCTAGACTCGTTCAAATATTTCTTGTTTTGTAGATATTACTTTTGAACCATGTAAATGTATTATTATAAAAGAAAAAATTTTAATTTAAAAAGTCATTCCTAAAAATTAAAAGTAAAATGAAACCAGTTTGAAGCATATGCATTCATCAGAGGGAAATTATTTTAAGTAACTTTAAAACACAGCAAGTTTTCTGTTTATCCTTTGTGAGATACATCCCAAGAAGAAAAAGAGCTGCAAAAACCGTATGTTTTCAATAAATAGTCATATTGTTGGTGGTAACGATGAAAATGTTATTTTGTAACTGCTCTGTGTGTAGTGTTTGATAAAACACATTATTATATTGGTGTCATCAAGAAGGAATAAACTTGGCAGGGGAGAAAGAAGAATTAATATTGATGAGATTATGCAATAACTCTATAGATCCAAATTTGAATTGAAAGTGTCAGTATAAACTCATGAATTGTTTTATTTTTTAAGAAAAAAAATATATTTTCTAGCTTTGTCCTCTGAAAAGGCCTAAAAATAAAAACAGTAATAAAATAACATTATGCAAGCTAGACTCTACCGCCCACTAAAAGGAATCAGGGCCTGGAACTTTCTGTGATACTAAAAGGCAAGCAAGCTATCAAACATTACTAGGACAGGGACGCCTTGGTGGCTTAGTCGGTTAAGCCTCTGACTTCGCTCAGGTCATGATCTCACGGTTCATGGGTTTGAGCCCCGTATCAAGCTCTGTGCTGACAGTTCAGAGCCTGGAGCCTCCTTCAGATTCTGTGTCTTCCTCTCTGTCTCTGCCCCTCCCCCACTCTTGTTCTGTCTCTCTTGCAAAAATGAATAAACATTAAAAAAAATTTTTTTTTAAATTACTAGGATATCTAGGGGCGCCTGGGTGGCTTAGTCGGTTAAGCGTCCGGCTTTCGCTTGGGTCATGATCTCGCGGTTCGTGGGTTCGAGCCCCGCGTCGGGCTCTGTGCTGACTGCCAGCTCAGAGCCTGGAGCCTGTTTCAGTCTGTGACTCCCTGTCTCTCTGATCCTCCCCTGCTCACGCTGTCTCTCTCTCTCTCTTCTAGAAATAAATAAAACATTAAAAAAAAAAAATTTTTTTTTAAAAATTAAAAAAAATTACTAGGATATCTAAGACACAGGAGGCAACTTGAAGAGTCTCCCATTAGCCAAATAATGGGACAAAATGGGTTTCAAAAATACCTTTAAATTAATGATTTTATAATAATACTATAAAAAGACTCATTGATCATTTTTGGAGGATGCCTGGAAACTATTTAAATAAAGAGAAAAGAATTAACCTTTTGTCCTTTTCCTATGTAAAATATAATTTTTATGGTTATCAAGTGTGATCACAGTGTTGAATGGGAGAGATTTCTCTTTATGGAAGGATTCCAGCTAATACAAGAAAAGGAATAAAAGAATTAGAACATCATCATTTTGCAAACTCTGATGAATTCAAGGGTCATCAGTGGCTACTAATATATCAAAGAGGCCTCTCCACCAGGCATTATGTGCCTTCTGGTAGCATACACCAGATACAGGAAATACTATTGTCAAAAACATTTTTAAAATAATCAAGCTGGAATCAGATAAACCTTCTAGATCAAACTAACAATATACTGTAAATAGAGGGGAGAGATGAACATGTTAAATATCCCCATGGGGACACAATAAATAAAATCCATACTGTGTGAAATTCTAAATCAATGCTGTTCAATAGAAGTATATAGCAAGTCCCATATGTAATATAAGGTTTTCCAGTAGCCCCATTAAAAAGAAAACAAGTGAGGAGACACCTGGGTGGCTCAGCTGGTTAAGCGTCTGACTCGTGGATTCACCTTACGTCATGATCTCACAGTTTGTGAGTTCAGGCCCTGCATTGGGAACTCTCTCTCTCCCTCTCTCTGCTCCTCCCCTGCTCAGGTGCTCTCTTTCTCTCAAATAAAATAAATAAATAAATAACTTAAGAAAAAAAAAAGTGAAATTATTTTACATAACATATTTAGACTATATATAATTTCAATGTGTAATCACTGTAAAAATTATTAATGACATTCTATCTTAAATTAATGGTACATTAATAATGTATCTTAAATTAATAGTACCTCTCAGACTGGATTAGTTGATCTTAAATTAGCAGTACATCTCAGATTGGATTAGCTACATTTCACGTGCTCAAAAGCCACATGTGGCTAGTGGCTACTATATTGGACAACACAGTTCTAAAGTAGAAATCACTTAGTTTTACAATGAATTATTACAAGGGGGAAAAAAAAGAGGAAAAGGGGAAAACTCTAGACTAAAAGTGACCTAAGAGACAACATTACTAATCATAACCTATGAATCAATTGGGGAAACAAATACCAACTCCACATTTGATATTAAGGCTTTCTGGTGATTTTTTAGCTGTAACCGTAGTAGTGTATGTAACATTAAAACACATCTGCTATAGATATATAATGAGATATTTATCAATAAATTATATAATGTTTTGTATATGCTTCAAAATAATTAGTGAGAGAGGGTAAGATTACAAATGAAACGTGATTATTATCCATGGTCCAATAATTACTGGAAGGCAGGCAACAGGTACAAAGTGATTCATGAAACTACTCTCTCCTTTTGCATATGTATAGTGCATAATACTTACCAAGTATGGAGGTAGTAAGGGCTTGTTACATAATGACTGAATCCTCACAATAAGGAAGGTGCTAATAAGAAAAGTGTGGCATGAAAAGGTTCCACGTCTTGCCCAATTTCTCAAAAGAGATTAAGTCTAGATTCAAATTCAGGCCATTTGGCTCCATAATTCAAACTCTGATAATCACCATACTCTACGATCCAGTAAACTAAAGATCCTGATTAGCTGACTAGTCAGACAAAGGTCTCAAGTTAGATAATACTTGGCTAAGATTTGCTCTGGGTGAGGGATGGATGAAAGAGGTGATGGGGCTTAAAGAGTATATGAATCATGATGAGCACTGGGTAAATATACAGAATTGTTGGATTACTATATTGTACACCTGTATGTTAACTATACTGGAATTTAACACTGTATGTTAACTATACTGGAATTTAAATTAAGAACTTAATAAAAAAAAATCAATTTATACCTTGGGGAACTAGAAAAGAAGAGTGAACTAAAATTTTTTTTTAAAGCAGAAGGCAATAATTAATATTAGAATTGAGATAAATAAAATAGAGAATAGAAAATTAGAGAAAATCAACTAATGCAAAACTTAGTTCTTTGAAAAGATAACAACAATTACAAAGCTGTTAGCTACACTGACTAAGAAAAAAGAGAAGACAATAAACTATTTGTAAAAAAAAAAAAATAAAAAAAGAAAAAAAAAAAAAGAAAAAAAAAAAAAAAAAAAAAAAAAAAAAAAAAAAAAAAAAAAAAAANCTTAGTCGGTTAAGCGTCCGACTTTCGCTTAGGTCATGATCTCACATTCATGGGTTCGAGCCCCGCATCGGGCTCTGTGCTGACTGCCAGCTCGGAGCCTGGAGCCTGTTTCAGTCTGTGACTCCCTCTCTCTCTGACCCTCCCCTGCTCACGCTGTCTCTCTCTCTCCTAGAAATAATAAATTAAAAAAAAAAAAAAATTAAAAAAAAAAAAGAAAGAAAAAAGAGAAGACTCAAATTACTAAAATCAGGAATGAAAAAAGAGACATTACTACTGACCTTACAGAAATGAAAGAAGTATAAGAGAATATTATGAACTGTATGCCAACAAATTAGAAAAATCTAAATAAAATAGGCAGACACAAACTACCAAAACTGACTCAAGAAGACATAGAAAATATGAATATAATAATTCTACTTCCCACAAATAAAAACCAGGTTCAAGTGGCTTCACTGAATTCCACCAGATATTTCAAGAATTAACACCAATCTTTCACTAACTCTTCCAAAAAATAGAAGGAAACATTCTCAACTTATTCTGTAAGGCCAGTATTACCAAAATAAGACAAATGTGAATTTAAGGAAGAGCCAGACAGAATTAATTCAGTCTGACTCAGCTTGAATCCAGCAACAAAGAAAACATAATATATGCCATAGCCAAATGGGATTTATCCCAGGAATACAAAGTTCATTTAATATCTTAAAATCAATCAAGAAAATAAAGAACAACATCCACACAATGATCTTAATAGACCCAAAAGAGTATGTGAGAAAATCCAGCAAACCAGAAATAGAAGCAAACTTTGTCAACAAGATAGAGGTCATCTATGAAAACCCAAATCTAACATCATACTTAATGGTGAATGGCCACATGCATTCCCTCTGTGATCATAAACCTCACGAAGATGTCCCCTCTCCTCATTTCTATTCAACACTGTACTGTAAGTTTTAGCAAGAGAAACTAGAGAAGAAAAAGAAATATGAGGTACCCAGACTGGAAAGGAAGAAGTAAAATTCTATTTGGAAATGATATAACCTCCACTTACAGATGATATCATCTTGCATATAGAAAACCCCCCAAAAATCCACATACATGCTTGTGCAAAAACAAACAAACAAACAAACAACCCTTCTGGAACTAAATAAACTAGTGCAGCAAGGTTCAGGGCACAAGATCAATATACCTAAGTCAACTATTCCTATGCACTAGCAATTCCCATTCCATTCCAAAAAAGAAATTAAGAAAAAAATCCATTTAAAACAGCAAAAAGACGGGGCGTCTGGGTGGCTCAGTCAGTTAAGCGTCCAACTTTGGCTCAGGTCATGATCTCACGGTTCGTGGGTTCCAACCCCGCGTCAGGCTCTGCGCTGACAGCTAGCTCAGAGCCTGGAGCCTGTTTCAGATTCTCCCTCTCTATCTGACCTTCCCCTGCTCACGCTGTTTCTCCCTCTCTCTCTCAGAAATTAAAAAACAAAAAAACAGCAAAAAGAATAAAGCACTTAGGAATGAATTTAACAAAAGATGTGCAAGACACGTACACTGAAAATAACAAAACATCACTGAAGGAAACTAAAGGATACCTAAATAAATGGGAAGACATTCCATATTCTTCTCATTATAAAACTTAATATTAAGATAGCAATACTTCCCAAATTGATCAACAGATTCAACACGCATCCTATGAAAATTCTATCTGCCCTTTATGCAGATATGGAAATGTTAAAAATTATCACTAACAGACTGGTTTATCTAGAATTAAAATTAAATAAAACTAAGTTCAGTACTTATAAACAGGATGTAGAATTTAAGAAAGAGCCACAGAAAATTACTCTTCTGCCAGGGATTTCCTGTCGGAAGAACAAATGAATTATTATCAAATAAACCAAATGAATTATTCACCATGTCAAAAGTAATGGCATTTCCCTACAGTTCATGATTCAAAGTCTGAAACTATTAATATTTTTATCTTAAAAATTTAAGTCTAAGCTGTCATATATTAAAGAACAATTTTAAGAATGATTGGCCCAGGGATGCCTGGGTGGCTCAGTCGGTTAAGCGTCCGACTCAGGTCATGATCTCGAGGTTCCTGGGTCTGAGCCCCGCGTCAGGCTCTGTGATGACAGCCAGCTCAGAGCCTGGAGTCTGTTTCAGATTCTGTGTCTCCCTCTCTCTCTGACCCTCCCCCACTCATGTTCTGTCTCTCTCTGTCTCAAAAATAAACTATAAAAAAAAATTAAAGAAAAAAAAGAATGACTGGCCCAGTACTAAATTAAAAAAAAAAAAAAACCTTTATAAAAATTAAGACTGAGTGTCAGAATGTATTTTCTCATAAAAGTAAAAATAAAGCCCAGTTTTACACAAAACATTCTTAGTATAGAACCAAGTTTCAAAATATAATACAAAAAACTTAAAAATGTAATTCTAAAAAAAAAAAAAAAAGGAGCTGAACTTCTAGGTAATTAAAAAAAACATAATTATCTATAAGAGAGGAGACAAGAAAATAAATGGGGAAAAAAACCGAATCTTCAAACAAATGATGTTGGGAAAACTGGACAGCTACATACAAAAGAATGAAACTGGACCACTTTCTTATACTATACATAAAAATAAAGTAAAACTGAATTAAAAGACCTAAATGTGTAAAAACTCCCTTGGGCCAAAAGGTGAGGGGTTTGTAAATGAGGAAACACCAACCATTGTTTGATCTCAAACTCTACTTGGGTAAAAGGTCAGGGGTTGAGCAACCCAGCTCCTCCTGGCTGCAGCAAGCCCCTGAGACTTAAATCTTTAATTAACATTGTGATTAGAACGGTCAAACATGTTCTTCAAGCGACTGTTAAGCAACCCCCACCTCTAACCACAAAATTCTCGCTTCTGTACACCGGCTTCGCCCCTCTCCCTATAGAAACCCTGAGCTATGGCTCAGCAGGGCTGTCTTCTGAGGACTTTTCGGGTGCTTGGGAGGGGCCGCCCGGCTGGACTAAAATAAACCTGAATAACCAACCCCTTTTGTGTTTTGTGGGCTTTGTTCTCCGTGATTCTCCTTTGGAAAGGGAGGTCTAACAAATTTAAGACCTGAAACCATAAAACACCTAAAAGAAAACATAGGCCTTAGCAACTGATGAATATCAGCCTTAGGAAGTTTTCTGGATCTGTCTCCTGAGGCAAGGGAAATAAAAGCAAAAATAAACATTTGGGATTACAGGAAACTAAAAGGTTTTGCATAGCAAAAGAAACCGTCAACACAAAAAGGCAACCTGCTGAGGGGCTCTGGCCGGTTCAGTCAGTGGAGCTTGAAACTCTTGATCTCAGATCATGAGTTCAAGCCCCAGATTGGGCATAGTGTTTCCTTGAAAAAATTAAAAAAAGAAAAAGGGCAACTAAATGAATGAGACAAGGTATTTGCAAATGATTTATCTGATAAAGGGTTAATATCCAAAATATAAAAAGAACTCACACAACTCAACCACAAAAAAACAAATAATCCTATTAAAAATGGGCAAGTGACCTTAATGGACATTTTCCCAAAGAGAACATATGAATGGCCAACAGAAGAAATGCAAAGCAAAAATCACAATGAGACACCACTGTACGGCTGTCAGAGTGGCTAAAATAAAAAAAGACAAGAAATAATAAGAATTGGCAAGGGCGTGGAGAAAAGGAGTCACTTGGTACTGTTGGTGGGAATGCAAACTGGTGTAGCTGCTATGGAAAACAGTGTGGAGGTTCCTTAAAAAATTCAAACAAGAGTTACTATATGATTCAGTAATTCCACTGCTGGATTGTTATCCAAAAGAAAATGAAAACACTAATTCAAAAAGATATATGTACCCCTATGATTATTGTAGGATTATTTACAATAGCTAAGATATAGAAGCAACACAAGTGTCTACTGATAGATAAATGGATAAAGAAGGATTGGTACACACACACACACGCACGTGCGCGCACACGCATGGACGTGCACTGAAATACTGCTCAGTCATAAGAAAGTAAAAAAAAAAACTTGTCATTCCTGACAACATTGATGGACCTAGAGGGTATTATGCTAAGTGAAGTAAATCAAAGATAAATATATGATTTCACTTATATGTGGAACCTAAGAAAAGAAAACAAATGGACAAACAAAAAACAGAAAGAGACTCAAATATAGAGAACAAAATGGTGGTTATTGGCGGGCAGGAAGAGGATGGGTGAAATAGGTGAAGGAGATTAAGAGGTACAAAATGACAGGGATGAAAAGTATAGCATAGAGTATTGACAATAATACTGTAATAACGTTGTATGGTGGTGGATTGTAACTACACTCATTATGAGGAGCACTGTGTAATGTACAGTTATCCAATCACTATGCTGTACGACTGAGACCAAGATAATACTGTATGTCAACTATCCTTCAGTAAGAAATTTAAAACCCGTAATTCTACAAGTATTGTCAACACGGGCCAAAGATTTACTTAAGTCATTGATGAGAGGTCAGCTGCTTGACCGCTCTTCAAAGGAGACACAAAAGCAGCTGTCTGGCGACTGCATCAAAACAAATGCTGGAGTAAGACTCCAAAATTAGTTAGAAACCTGATGAATGTCCTACAAGGGCAATAAAACCATAAACTTTGGGCTTATTTTTTCTCCTCGGTAAAATAATTTGCAAATGTTCAATGTTCTACAAGTTAACAGGACTTTGAGGATCTGGATATTAACCACTAGTAACTAGTACATCTAACAACATAGACCCCCACGCTATGTCAGATGGCCTTTAGGCTGGTTAGACAATGGTCTAATATGACACTAAACGGGCATAATTTTACCTTTTGCCTTATTTCTAAGTTTCAGAGAATTTTTCTTAACACATTTCATACATTTCCGACTTTGCTCTTTTCTGGAAAAATCAGTTGGATTTTATACTCGTGAATAAGAAAGTCAGCTTAACAATATACTGCAATAAAAAATCTAAACCAATTTAAACACATCTTAGGAAGATTTCCACTGATGCTGATATATTCTTGATATTTTTAATGGTGCTGAGTCTCACGATGCAAAGCATGAATCAGAGCAGGTGATATAGGCTACTTTATCATCAGCAGTTATGATGTGACTGTCTGCCACACTGGGACTGCCACCAAGGGAAATGAAATCTGTCAAACTGAGGCGGCCAGTCCTGGGATTACTATACTATCAAGCAAGACGGTGTTCGCTGCAAACTTGCAACGAACTAGGAACATTAGGAACCAGGCGCCGTAAAAGAGGCACTTAATTCCCCTCATGTAGTGTGTTAGGCATTACCTTTACCAATTCTGGTTCTTCTGCCTGAAGGTGGTCTTCATCTGGCTTGGAGACTTCAGGATTCTGAAGGGATACAGGATATGATCACTCAGCGACAGGCTGCTGACGACCCACAGCAGAGCATCAGGTACCAACGGTCCACTGTGGATGTGGCATACACGGGATGGCCCTTTTATTGTTTAATTTAGGGCTGAAATTAACAGGATGACCCCTTTTATTGCTTAATTTAAGCACTGAAATTACCATCCCATAGTAACATTCAATCTTCTTTAACTTTGAGACAATGACAAACGCAAGAATGAGAAAAATGAAACTGCATAGTTTTTGAAGGAGGCTTTCAACACAGAACCTACTTATATAACAAAAAATAGACATAGTAAGAGGGCTTCAGATGCTACAGAATTTTCCCTTTTCATATAGAGTTGAAACGTATTTCTCAGAAAAGTATCTATCTTGCTCAAGAATAGTATTCAAAACCTGCTAACACTACGTATTTTGCATAATTGAAAATCATTTCAGTGTTGGGGGGGTCAGGGAAAACGTCTCATAGTTATTCAGGTAGTATTTCGGGGACTTCTCACTACATTATCTTCTTAACCTTATAAGCTGTATCCCTATGAGGGCCTGGTTTTATAAATGAAATGGTATTTTACTATATCTTTCGGTTAATAACTTATGATTTTAGGCTTTGTGTGTGCCATTTAAAAAAAAAAAAAAACTATGGGTAATAAAACTACTGAAAGTCCACTGAGAAAAAATGTTATCTTATTTCTCCCCTCCCAAGTTCTAATCTAAAAAACACAAATATTCAGCTTCCAGAAAATTAATGATGATGTGAACATCACCCTCTGGTAATTAGGGATGGGTCTGGCCATGTCAATCCTAGACAAATACTTCGGAGATGCTGATCAAGTGTAACATTTTGCTTTTTATTTCTCTTTCCAAGGGCATGTTTTAAGGACTATTCACATGTTATACATCCTGGCTACAAAGAATAAAAGGTCACTACTATACGCTACTGTGGATCGTTACTAGAACAAATTATATTTGTTCTTTCTTCAGAATCTATTTCAAAAAGTCACTGCTAAGACACAGTTAGTCTCTCACTGATACCCATCTCAAACACCCACACATACATATATGTACCTAAATGTCTCCAGGGAAACATTAAAAGATTCAGCTTAAATATCTAATTTCCAGGCCTATCTTCCAAAACCTTCCAACTGGAATCACTAGCTCACCCCACTGTTCTCTGGCCCTTAAGCCTCCTTCTCACCTGAAGTCCCCTTACAAATACTTTATGACAACTAAAATCCCAGTTGTGAGTACTACCTAAGTCTAAGTGTCCTCATGAGCTTTCTGTGACCAGTTTTGCCCATACGAATGCCCATTTCTTTTCTTACCTAGCACTTGTCATGTTTATCATAGAGCTAAGCAGCTATTATTCACCTAACAAATTAACATAACTATTTCTTTTGTAGGCCTTACCTCAACGAGACTGTAAGCACCCTACAGCCAAGCTCTGTGTCTTAAACATCTTTCTCTCCATGTCATCTATTAAGCTTGGTCACTTTTTTTTTTTTTTAACGTTTTATTTATTTCTGAGGGAGAGACAATATGAGCAGGGGAGGGTCAGAGAGAGAAGGAGACACAGAATCCGAAGCAGGCTCCAGGCTCTGAGCTGTCAGCCACCCCGGCGCCCCAAGCTTGGTCACTTTTTAATGGGTAGAAAAGACGAGATCACTGACAGTGGGCAAAAGAGGCATGGTTCCCCCTTAATTAACAGGGTGTGCAGGTGTGTCTGTGTGTACGTGCTTCCCCCAAATCTCTTAAACGATATTTCCAATTTAAAATATTCTATTCTTTTACCCCACAAAAAACTGAAATTTCCTGGGAACAATACAAATTTAACATCAAAAGTAAATTTCCTAGACTGTCTATCAAACAACAGCAAAAGTATTTTTTGAAAGATCATGAGTCTTGATATTTGGTTCCATATATATTGTGAAACGTCTTATAGATTACAAGCTTCACTATGATGAACCCAATTTTCATGGATGTAAACAATCTGATTCAGTTATCAGAGGGGTGTGGTTGAGATGCAGAAGTCATAGACTTCAGGAAAAATAGACATGCTTTCAAGCCAAGAGGCAGGGGGCTACCTGGGTGGCTCAGTTGGTTGGGTGGCCGACTTCGGCTCAGGTCATGATCTCACGGTTCATGGGTTCAAGCCCCGCGACGGGTTCTGTTCTGACAGCTCAGAGCCTGGAGCCTGTTTCAGATTCTGTGTCTCCCTCTCTCTCTGACCCTCCCCTTCTCAAGCTGTCTCTCTCTCTCTCAGAAATAAATAAAAAATTCTAAAAAAAATTAAAAACAAACAAACCAAGAGGCAGGTCAGGACCAGAGGAAACCCCAACTTACCAGAGGTCCAACAGAAAAAACCACAGCAGCCATAATCTCTTCCTCTGTGTTCCCCTGTCTGTCAAGAGTGGGGTCCTGCAAAGACATAGCTGAGAAAGAGAAATAAGCGATGAAAATCAATCCTACCTTGGAAACCTCAGATTTACCCAATTGGAATCCTGACATTATAAGGAAGCATGACTTCCCTAAAGGACCCAAGAATAACCTCCAAGATCAGTGAGGAAAAAAGATCCTTGTTCCTGGAGTTTGTGACATTTTAATACCATTAAATGTAGTCACACCGAGGGGCGCCTGGGTGGGTTAGTCGGTTAAGCGTCCGACTTTCGCTTAGGTCATGATCTCGCAGTTCGTGGGTTTGAGCCCCGCATCAGGCTCTGTGCTGACTGCCAGCTCAGAGCCTGGAGCATGTTTCAGAGTCTGTCACTCCGTCTCTCTCTGACCCTCCCCTGCTCATGCTGTCTCTCTCTCTCCTAGAAATAAATAAAACATTAAAAAAAAAATGCAGTCACACCGAGCAGGCCAGACGTTGTACAAGATCTTTTAAAATACAAGTGGGATTTATATCTGGGCTGCAGGGCTGGTTCAGTATTGCAAATCAATCAATGTGATAGAGCACATTAGTAGAAGAAAGGATAAGAACCATATGATCCTGTGAATAGATGCAGGAAAAGCACTTGACAAAATACAGCATCTTTTCTTAATAAAAACCCTCAAGAAAGTCAGGATAGAAGGGACCTACCTTAACATCGTAAAAGCCACATATGAAAGACCCACAGCTAACATCATCCTCAATGGAGAAAAACTGAGAGCTTTCCCCCTGAGATCAGGAACACGACAGGGATGTCCACTGTCACTAATGTTGTTTAATACGGTGTTGGAAGTCGTAGCCTCAGCAATAAGACAACAAAATGAAATAAAAGGCATCCAGATTGGCAAAGAAGAAGTCAAACTTCACTTTTCGCAGGTGACGTGATCCTCTACATGGAAAACCTGAAAGACTCCACCCAAAAACTGCTAGAACTGATACATGAATTCAGCAAAGTCACAAGATATAAAATCAATGTACAGAAATCAAGTTGCATTCCTATACACCAATAATGAAGCAACAGAAAGCGATGTCAAGGAACTGATTTCATTTACAACTGCACCAAGAACCATAAAATACTCAGGAATAAATGTAACCAAAGAGGTAAATGATCTGTGCACTGAAAGCTACAGAAAACTTATGAAAGAAACTGAAGACACAAAGAAATGGAAAAACATTCCATGGTCATGGATTAGAAGAACAAATATTGTTAAAATGTTGATACTACCCAAAGCAATCTACACATTCAATGTAATCCCAATCAAAATAACACCAGCATTCTTCTCAGAGCTAAAACAAACAATCCTAAAATATGTATGGAACCACAAAAGACCCTGAATAGTCAAAATAATGTTGAAAAAGAAAACCAAAGCTGGAGGTATCACAATCCCGGCCGGACCTGAGCCTGTACTACAAAGTAGTCATCACAGTATTTGGCACAAAAACAGACACATGGGATAGAACAGACCAATGGAATAGAATAGAGAACCTAGGATTGGACCCACTAATGTATGGCCAACTAATCTTTGACAAAGCAGGAAAGAGTATCCAATGGAAAAAAAGACAGTCTCTTTAGCAAATGGTGCTGGAAGAACTGGACAGCAACACACAGAAGAATGAAACTGGACCACTTTCTTGCAATTCAAAATGGATGAAAGACCTAAATGTGAGACAGGAAACCATCAAAATCCTAGAAAACAAGCAACAACCTCTGTGCCCTCAGCCACAGCAACTTCTTACTCGCTGCATCTCCAAAGGTAAGGGAAATAAAAGCAAAACTGAACTATTGGGACCTCATCAAGATAAAAAGCTTCTGCACAGCAAAGGAAACAATAAAAAAAACTAAAGGCAACCAACAGAATGGGAGAAGATATTTGTAAATGACATTTCAGATAAAGGGTTGGTATTGAAAATCTATAAAGAACTTATCAAACTCAACACCCAAAAAACAAATAATCCAGTGAAGAAATCGACAAAAGACATGAATAGACACTTTTCCAAAGAAGACATTCAAATGGCTAACAGACACATGGAAAGATGCTCAACATCACTCATCATCAGGGAAATACAAACCAAAACCACACTGAGATACCACCTCACACCAGTCAGAGCGGCTAAAATTAACAACTCAGGAAAGAACAGATGTTGGTAAGGATGTGGAGAAAGGGGAACCTTCTTGCATTGTTGGTGGGAATGTAAACTGATGCAGCCACTCTGGAAAACAGCATGGAGAGTCCTCAAAAAATTAAAAATAGAATTACTCTACGACCCAGCAATAGCACTACTAGGAATTTATCCAAAGGATACAGGAGTGATGATTCATAGGGCCATATATACCCCAATGTTTACAGCAGTGCTATCAACAATAGCCAAATTATGGAAAGTGACCATATGTCCATCAACTGATGAAGGGATGAAGAAAACATGATATATATACACAATGGAATACTACTTGGCAATGAAAAAGAATGAAAGCTTGCCATTTGCAACAACGTGGATGAAACTGGAGGGTATTATGCTAATGAAATAAGTCAGTCAGAGAAAGACAGGTATGTTTTCACTAATATGTGGAAGTTAAAAAACCTAACAGAAGATCATTGGGGAAGGGGGGCGGGGAAATAGCTACAAACAGAGAGGGAGGCAAACTATAAGAGACTCTTAAATACAGAGAACAAATTGAGGGTTGATAGGGGTAGGAGGGCAGGGGTGTGGGGAAAATGGGTGATGGGCATTGAGCAAGGCACTTGTTGGGATGAGCACTGGGTGTTGTAGGTAAGTGATGAATTGTAGGAATCTACTCCTGAAGCCAAGAGTATGCTATATAGACTGTATATTAGCTAACTTGACAATAAAAAAAAAAAAATCTTTTTTTTCTTTAAAAAGAATTTTTTTTAATATTTATTCATATTTGAGAGACAGAGTGCAAGCCATCAGCACAGAGCCTAACGTGGGGCTCGAACCCACAAATCATAAGATCAAGACCCAAGCTGAAGTCAGATGTCCAACAGACTGAGCCACCAAGGTGCCCCAAATACTTTTTCTTTTTAAAAATTTATTTATTTACTTCTGATTGAGTAAACTCTACCCCCAACGTGAGGCTTGAACTCATAACCTCAAGATCAAGAGTTGCATGCTCTACTGAGCCAGCCAGGTTCCCGTAAAATACCTTTTTACTTGAACTTCACATCAACCCAATGGTAATTACATTCCGATTCCCTAGGAGGAAAATGAGGCTTAGAAAAATTACACTATTTACTCGAGGCCATATATGACCTCAAATCAGTCTAATTCCAATGTTCACACCTTTTCCACTACATCAACTTTCTGTGTGATATGAAAAAAAAATAATAATTCAATCCTTCTTTGCCACAATCGTCTAGTCATCTAAAAATGAAACATTTTGGAGCACCTGGGTGGCTCAACTGGCAAAGCATCCGACTCTTGATTTCAGCTCAGGTCATGATCTTGTGGCTGGTGAGTTCGAGCCCCACGTCAGGGTCAACATAGATGGTGCAGAGCCTGCTTGGGATTCTCTCTCTCTGCCCCTCCTCCGTTCACTCTCTCTGGCTCTCTTGAAATAATAAACTTAAAAAGTGTTTTTAAAAAGACACATCCAAGAGATTTGTATTCAAAAACATAACCTGAAGAACAGCAGCATGAACATTACTGGAGAGCTTGTGAAAGATGCAAAATCTGAGGTCCAATTACAGAACTCACTGAATCAGAATCAGCTTTTTCATAAGAACCCTAGTTGATTCATATGCCACACATTAAAGTTTAAGGCACTATGGATCTAAAAACGATCATGCCAACAAACTGGACAACCTAGAAGAAATGAGTAGTTTCCTAAAACATACAAACTCCCAACAACCTAGAAGAAATGAGTAGTTTCCTAAAACATACAATCTCCCAAGACTGAATCATGAAGAAAGTGAAAATCTGACAGACCAAATACTAGTAAGGAAACTGAATCAATAATAAAAAAATCTACCAAAAACACAACGTCCAGAACTAGGTAGTTTCATTGGTGAATTCTATTGAACGTTTAAGAAGAATTAATACCAACTGTTCTCAAACTCTTCCAAAAAACAGAGAGGAAAGAATACTTCCAAACTAATTTTACAAGGCTAGCATTACCTTGATTCTAAACCAGGCAAGGACACCACAAGAAAAGAAAATTAGAGGTCAATAACACTGTTGAGCACAGATGCAAAATTCCTCAACAAAACAGTAGCAAACTCAATTCAACAATACATCAAAAGGATCATTCACAATGATCAAGTTGAGTTTATTCTAGGGATGCAAGAAAGGTTCAATATCTGCAAGCCAATCAGTGTGATACACTACATTAACAAAATGAAGAATAAAAATTGTATGATCATCTCAATAGATGCAGAAAAAACATTTGGCAAAATTCAACATCCATTATGATAAAAACTCTCACCAAAGGGGGTAGAGAGAGGACATAATGCAACATAATAAAGGCCATATATGACAAGCTCACAGCTCACACACTAAATGGTGAAAGGATAAAATTTTTTCCTAAGAGCAGGAACAGAGCAAGACAAAGATAAGTAAATATAATTTCCCAAAGAACAATTTTTGTTTAAAAATATTCTAAGATAGGGGCACCTGGGTGGCTCAGTTGGTTAAGCATCTGACTTCAGCTCAGGTCATGATCTCAAGGTTCATGAGTTCGAGCCCTGCATCGAGCTCTGTGCTCTCAGCACACAGCCTGGAGTCTGCTTTGGATTCTGTGTCTCCCTCTCTTTCTGCCCCTCCCCTGCTCACGCTGTCTCTCTCTCTCAAAAATAAAAAACATAAAAAAAAATATATTCTAAGACTGACTCACACAGCAGAAAACTTAAGTAGGCCAATGTAGTAGAGACTGCTAATTGCCTTCCAACATCCAGTCTCCCCTCCTCCTTGAGAAAGGTTTGAAATTTCAGCTGGCCACAAGGCCACCCAACTTTCCCAGCCACCTTGCAGGTAGATGTGCCCAGGTCACTTGAATAAAAGAGGTGATGTCACATTTTTTTTAAAGGAATTTGACAGTTGTTGTTTTTTTTTTCCCCATGTCCCCCCATTCACAATACAGACCAGGCAAAGCACCTGGGTTGGGGTGTATATGGGTGGATTTACTCTGCCTCCTCTTTCTGTACAGTCAGTGTAAGAACACAGCCTGTGGTAAGCACCGGGAGGCTTGGCAGTTTATTTTTTTAAAGTTTGTTTATTTCTTTTGAGAGGGAGCACACGTGTCAGCGGGGGAGGGGCAGAGGGAGGAGACAGAGAATCCCAAGCAGGCTCTGCATTGTCAGCATGGAGCCCAGCAAGGAACCCAACGTGGAGCCCAACTTGGACCCCAACGTGGAACTCAACAAAGGACTGGAATACACAGACTGTGAGATCATGACCTGAGCTGAAATCAAGAGTCTGAAACTTATCCAACTGAGCCACCCACGTGCCCCAAGGTGACATCACATCTTTACAAGGCAACGGCTTGCTCTCCAGTTCTTTGTTTCCCCTACAAAAGGCTTTCACTGCAAAAGGATGAAAGTGAGACAGCTTCGGGGCGCCTGGGTGGCTCAGTCGGTTAAGCGTCTGACTTCGGCTCAGGTCGTGATCTTGCAGTTCATGATCTCGCAGTTAGTGGGTTCGAGCCCTGCATTGGGCTCTGTGCTGACAGCCAGCTCAGAGCCTGGAGCCTGCTTCAGATTCTGTGCCTCCCTCTCTCTCTGACCCTCCCCTGCTCAGGCGGTCTCTCTCTGTCTGAGAATAAATAAAAAACATTAAAAAAAAAAAAAAAGAAAGTGAGCCAGCTTCTACCACAGGAACGACAACATCCCTAGGAGGTGATGAAGCAAAAAGAGGAATGGAACCTGGGTTTCTAGATGACCTAATAGAAGAGAGCTGCCAGTCACCTAAAAACTCAGACTTTTATGAGAAAGAACAGTATTTCCTGGGTGCCTGGGGGGCTCAGTCAGTTGAGCATCTGACTCTTGATTTTTATAATGAAGTCTCAGAGTTACTAATAAAAGTGCTTTTCCCATACTTCAGTGTTTCCCTAACTTATTTTAGGTCATGGGTCCCTTTGCAAATCTAATGGCAATCATTTGTTTCCCAGAAAACTCGTACATACAATTAGAAAACCCCCACATCTTAAATCTGAAGATACAAAAAGCTCATTAGGCACACTTATTAAAAAGGAAATTCTGGGGGCACCTGGGTGGCTCAGTTGGTTGAGCATCTGACTTTTTTTTTTTTTAATTTTTTAAAAAATATTTTTTATTTATTTCTAGGAGAGAGAGAGAGATGGCGTGAGCACGGGAGGGTCAGAGAGAGGAGTCACAGACTCTGAAACAGCCTCCAGGCTCAGAGCTGGCAGTCAGCACAGAGCCCGACGCGGGGCTCGAACCCACGAACCACAAGATCATGACCTAAGCGAAAGTCGGACACTTAACCCACTAAGCCACCCAGGTGCCCCTGAGCATCAGAGTCTTGATTTCAGTCCTGGATCCTGCCTGGGATTCTTGCTCTCCCCCTCTCTCCGCCCCTCCCCTGTTCATGCTAAGTAAATAAATAAACATTAAAAAAAAAAGGAAATTCTGGGGTGCCCAGCTGGTTCAGTTAGTAGTGTGTGACTCTTGATCACAGGGTTGTGAGTTCAAGCCCCACGTTGGGTGTAGAAATTACTACAAAAAAAAAATCTTAAAAAAAAAAAAGGAAATTTCTTGGCTCTATCCAAGATCTAAATCAGGATCTCTATTCTGGGTAGGAGACACAGAAATCTACACTGTCAACAAGCATCTCAAACACTTATCTTGAGAAATATTGTTCTAAAGCAAACTAATTCCTCAACCCTAAATTAAAGACTCTTCAAAAAATTTTCAATGTTTGTTTATTTAGTTATTTATTTAGTTATTTAGAGGGACAGAGAGAGAGACAGATCATGAGCGGGTAGAGCAGAGAGAGAGGGAGACGCAGAACTGGAAGCAGGCTCTAGGCTTTGAGCTGTCAACACACAGCCCGATGCACCGCTCTACCAAGGCTCCAATAGTGAGATCATGATCTGAGCCTGAAGTCAGATGCTTAACTCACTGAGCCATCCAGGAACCCCATAAACTTTTAAAGATTAATGACCTCCTCCTTGGCAATATGCCATATAGTTAACGCTACTCAAATACGTTTAATACCAAACTGTGCAATAACCATCTTTGTAAATTTTATAATCAGAATAGCCAAGGCTGTTCAAACTTCCATATATTCAGCTCGATCTCGACTGTGTAAGAAGAACGCATAGAGAAAAAGACAAGCCAGTGAGTGAGCCAAAGTCCACTGTGACCTCGGAGCCCTGGGCCTGTGATGTTTACACGTCCTTCTACTTTTCTACACTTTCCAAGCAGACAGTAAGAAGTAACTATATATACATATGAGTTTGGTGTCGTGATAGAGTTCCAGAGTGGCTGTCCCCCCGACCCCACCCCCTACCCCCGGTTCTAACCTTAGTTTGGCTACCGTAGAAATGCGTCCAGTGGCGCATCACTGGAGCACGAGTTTTGAGGCTTGGCGCAGCTCCTCTCACCTCCGACATTATGCAGAAGACCCCTAACCCGGGCTAACAGCTCCCCATAGCCGTAACCGCCTAGACGTTTCTTCCCCTGGATACTGTGACTTCACCCAAGCCCTGTCTGTCTTCCCAGGCACTGCGGAAGTATCCAAGACTTGGGAAATTCCTCTCTGTGGCTCCTCGGCCGGCTTCGCTATTCTACAATAACGAAGGGGCCCATGTTCTTGTTGAGAACGTCAGCGCCCCGGACCAGCCCGGCATTTCCCAACCAAAGCGAGGAAGCCATCACCACGCGTGGCGGAGACCAGGGATTTGAAAGCGATTACTTGAAACGCCGTAAAACGAGACGGAGGGAAAAGGTGCCTCGGTTACCGAAAGGACAGGAGTTCATCCACCTGCCAGGTCATCAGGTGTGAAACCGGTCCATCTCTGGGGCTCCGGAAGCCAGGACGGAGACGGTCCTTCCTCCAGCCTCGCCCCCTTTCCCTAAATGCCCATCGGGGGTCCCCCCACCGCCTCTAGCAAAGGCGCGGGACTGGGAAGAGGCGGAAGGTCGGGTCAGGGGCCGGCCGGCCCTAGTCGAGCCCTCCTCAGCCTAGGGCCGCGCCCCGTGCTCCCCAAGCCCCGCGCCGCGCCCGCCGCCAGGGCACCGCCGCCCCCGAGCCGGGCCTGGGGGAGCCCCAGGCGACAGCCAGGCAGGAGGCCCGGCCCCTGCCGCCTCTCGGGTGGGCGTGTCGGCTCAGGGACAGGGGCTCTGGAGGGAGCGGCCCCGCCCCCGACGCCGCCGGGAGCCCAGCGCCGAGGGAGGGGCGGCGGGGAAGTGGGGCCCGGCGCCCGGGGCAACGAGTACCTGGCTGCAGAACTGAGGACAACTGCGGGCACTCGCAGAGCAGGGCGGGAACGCGTCCAGCAATGGCGCCGGCTTGGCGGGGCCGGCCGCCAGGCACGCCAATGCGCCTGCGCAGCCGGGGCGCCCGAACTCCAGCGCCCAGAATCCTCAGCGTCGGAGCCTCGCCCCCAACCCTTTCCTTTTTTTTTTTTTTTTTTTTTTTTTTTTTTTTTTTTTTTTTTTTTTTTTTAGCGTGTCCTCTTTTGTCTGCATTTAAGCAGGAATTGGCTATGTTTGTCGACAATTTGGGTGACCTAAAAAAATCCAGTCAAATTAAACAAGCAATACAAATACAAACAAACAATACAATATTGAGAGGCCACAACTGTATGTCAAGCAATAGGATCAGGTACCAGCGACGCAAAAATGAATGACACCAGCTCTTGACATTGGACATTTCAGTGTGGCTGAAGAAATAAAGTCACTGGCAGAAGATATAGGCCTTCTGTAAATTAGCTAAAGCCTCGGAAGCCAGTAGAGTTGGTAAGCGCGTGTGCACACTTTTGCTGGTCTTTCAAGTTCTTGACCGAAAAATCGGTAATGCCTTCGTTATAATTCCTGGGTCTTTGAACTAGAGCTTCCTGCCTCAGCTCATCCTAATAATAATAAAATAATAAAAAACAATAATGTAATTAATATTGGTATTTATATTAATTTAAACATTTATTTTTATAAGTTTTTATATAGATACTATTATATCTTGTATCAGATTACTATATATTATAAAGCACGCTTTCCATTGCCTTAATTCCATGGTTTTAATACCCAGAGGCCATATCTTCCATAGTGAAACAGACTCCATTAGGACTCTAGAGCAGTTTCCCTCAATGAAAACATTTCCTCCCTAACACACCCCTACTCTCTGTGCCTTGGATTCTCTGCTTTTTCGACTGTGTATGAGGCCCACACAGGGTGAGCCCCCTGCATATGGGGACCTGCAGGGAAAAACAAATCTCAGCGAAACTGAACACTGTAGAGGTAGGCTCTTGGGATCTCAAAGAGGCAATGACATACTTTTTAGCGTGTCCTCTTTTGTCTGCATTTAAGCAGGAATTGGCTATGTTTGTCGACAATTTGGGTGACCTAAAAAAATCCAGTCAAATTAAACAAGCAATACAAATACAAACAAACAAAACATACTTTTGCAGAAAGTATGACATAACCCAGGGACTCTTGAACTATGAAAGGAAAAAAATACATAAGTGGGAAATCAAACTCCTAGAAATAATAAATATGATATCTGAAATGAAAATAAATTGGATTGGATTTAGAGCAGATTAGACACTGCAAAAGAAAAGAATCATGAATTCAAAGATACAGAAATAGAAACTGCCGGAAGTGAAATGAAGGGAGAAAATAGAGAATGAATGGAGCACCAGAGAGTTATGGTGTAATTAGAATCCTAGAAGGAAGTGAGAGAGTGAGGGATGACTAAATAGTTTGTTCCCCTCCCTCCTTTTTTTTTAATTTAAATTTTAGTTAGAATAATGACTAGATACTTTCAAACTTTGATGAAAATTATAAACCCACAGATCCAAGAAGCTCAGTGAAATTCAAAGAAAAGATGTGAAAAATATCACACCAAGGTACATCATAATCAAATTGTTACAAACCAGTAATAAAGGAAAATCATAAAAACAGAGGAACAAAGATTTGTATTTCCTGGGTTTAAAGATAATTACTTTTCATCAGAAAAAGAAAAAAA